CAATCTCGTACTTATCTAGATTGTTTGACTGGCGTCAATATTTCTCTTTCAAAAAGTTCGATCAGACATATGAAAAGTTTGATGATGATGATCATACTAGCACTGAGCCAGTGATTGGGTATCTTCAGCTCGTAAGTATATCAAAAGCGAATACATATTGAACAACTCATTATTTGTATCACTTTCTGATAGTTTCGTTTTGCTGATCGAGTCGATCTACTCTTGATAGTCCTTGGCTTATGTGCCGTCTTATTAGATAGTATCAGTTTCATAGCACGTTTTATTGTTTTTGGTCGAATTACGGGCACATTTGCCTCACAATCGTTTATCGGTCGATGCCCTCCACAGCAAAACGCATCTTTTCTCATTAACAGCAGCAGAGAATTTTCATGGAGTACAAAGCGAAATATTTTCAATTATGAGCAATCACGAAAGTAAGTCATGGCCAAAAAGCATGTTAATCCACTCCAGCTTCTTTAATTATTCACTGTTCATCCATGTTAGACTCTACTCAAATGACAATACTATCTTGACATCACTGTGTACTTTATCGACGACCGAATTTCATGCTGATGTAAGAAACCAATTGCACTGGCTCCTAAGTAAGCACAACGAATCTAAATTTCCAAAGATAAAATAAAGGAATGGCTTGCCTCTTGAATGTATTTAGTCATAGGTGTGATTGAAATCGTATGCGTTGCTGTTCGCTCTTTTGTCTTCGACGTGAGCGCCAGAAGGCAGGCGTCTCGAATACGTATTCGTCTTTTACAATCACTCCTGCAGCGTGTATGTCGAAAGCACTCTTCTTTACACAGATAATACGGATGGGACAGTATCAATGGCTTCCTCATTTTTTTCTCTGAACTTGTACTACTTATTATCCTTGAGGCTTATCTTAGTCCTTTGGGAAGATACAGTACGCGATTCTCTACAAATTGCAATATTTTGAAACATGACTGAGAACAAGCGTTAAAGTTGATTGGAAGAAAATCTGTCCCTGCCCTCCAATTTACATACCATGGCAAACATTGTTAGAAATTTCCAGCATGTCTATCATGGTCGATGATAGTTTGAAAGTCCTTCGATGTCTGACTTTTTAGTTCCCTAAACTTTGGTAATGATTACAGATAGTCAGAGTTGTCAAGATTTCGGTCGAATCGGATCAGTTGAAATGGTTGGTTTTCACCAGTTTAACCCTTTTAAAAATATCTTTTAGATATGCGATTTTTTCTATTAAAAGTAGCAGAGAGCAAAATTTCGTGCTCTTGTCAAAATGATGCTTTATTTTCTTATACTGATCAACACTGTTTCCTTTCTTTAATCGAATTACATCTCATTTTTTTACCTAGGTGCAGTCAGTACGGTATCTGAATATTTCCAGCCGCAATTTACTCTCTGACCTGTGTTGGATCTAAAACGGGTTGTGTTGTACACAGAACTTTTCCATCTATCGGATGGTACCATTTTTATGGGGATCATCGGGTAGCAAATGCGATTTACCCAAGAAATACTCATATTTTCTCTTTGTACTCATAATGTAAAAAGGCTATTTCCAGCCTGAAGTCGCTTGGCGAGTTGTATATGATCTGTAACTGTATGTGTTGGATGCAGAATCTCATTCTCTATCGAATGGTACTATTTTAGAAGAGCTCCTCTGGCATAAATTTTCAGTTGAGTATGAACCTGGCTATGGATGTGAATGTGGATGAGCGTGTTTCATGTCCTGAATAAGTAATCAATGCTCCTAAAAGTTAAAACTAGTTAAGAGAAGTATCGCTAATAATTTATTGCCATCCCATACCCTCATCTACATTCTCACACTAAGATGTACACCCACAGCCAGATACATACTCAATTCAAAATTTATACCTGATGAGCCCTTCTAAAATAGTACAATTCGATAGAGAATGAGATTCTGCACCCAACACATACAGTTACAGATCGTATACAACTCGCCAAGCGACTTCAGGCTGGAAATAGCCTTTTTACATTATGAGTACAAAGAGAAAATATGAGTATTTCTTGGGTAAATTGCATTTGTTACCCGATGATCCCCATAAAAAATGGTACCATTCGATAGATGATAAAATTCTATGTACAACACAGCCTGTTTTAGATCCAACACAGGTCAGAGAGTGAATTGCGGCTGGAAATACTCAAATAGCGTGTTAACTTTATCTCTGTAGTTTTTTAAAGCACAAACAAAACCGTATTACTTGAACAAAACTCATATAATACATGTTTTGTAGAAGATAAAATTTGCGTTTGGATCGCGATTTGAAGAAAAGGTTTAGGCTTGTCTGTAAAGGCTTAGTAAGAACATTCAGGCTATGAACTCTGGCAATCAGTGGATGGGTAAATTACTTTTTTTTCGCGCTACATATAGATAGCTCAAATATTCATCTTTGAGATAGCGGATAGATGTAAGTGACTAGAGAATGATATTTCTTGCTAGTGATTTATAAAAACCTGATGAGGTAAAAAGAAAAAGGAATGCTTTTGAAGTAATATCTATTAACCAATTAAAATGAACCAACAAAAAGGCCAGTTTTTCCTGATTTCCGCCTGTCTAAAAACGTTTTGTGAGCCAAGTAGTCGCTGGCCAAATCAAATCAGTCTAAATTTCGACTGATTAAAACGAACCATGTCAACGATCCTTGGCCACGTAAAAACTTGCATTTTTCCCTATTTTTGTTACCGGGAACCTTTTACGCAAATTGAGAATAAAGCTTATTGCCATAAAAATGTCACAGAAAAGACTAGCGCAAGAATCTTTAGTTATTCCACACGGAATTTTACTACTAGTATCAGTTATATTATGTAGAAAAACTTTGTGAACTCACCGGCTTTAACCGTGCTGGACATATTTTTAGAGTGGCTGTTCATCGGCCGTAATAGAACGTTCCACTGGTTCTAGACTGGTGGCAACTCTGAAATAGGTTTCTCCTTTACAAATGCAGTAATTTCATGGTTTTTTGGATTATAACTCCACGAAAGTAACGCTGAGAGTCATTTTATTTGGTGACAATAGTATTCTTTATTTTTTATATAACACAGATCCGTATGGAATCATTTGGTATATTTTTTAAGTTTTTTGTTTCGTCAACCGTTTTTCTCTGATTTTCTCCTGTTTATACCTTCATATATTTTTGCGGCAGGTTTGCATAGGTCATAGGTTCAATGAGCTTGATAGAACAAGTGTCGCATACGATGAGTTGTTTCAGACAACAACTTATGAACTCTGATACTATTACAATACAAAAGTTAATATTGGAAGTGTTGATATGTTACTAGTGGAAAGTTGAAACATAAAAGATAAAACTTGGACTTTATAGTTCTGTATAATATCAACGTAATTGAAAAACAGAGAAGTTTAAACGCATTGAAAAAATATAAATCTTTTTTTTTTGGGTGAGGGGAGGGAGGGAAGGGAATAGCACAGCAAATCTTCGGAAAAGAGTTCAAAATTTAAGCGATAGTAAAAATGAAGACGCAGAAAAAATAATGAGAAGCCATTCATCTAGCCACACTCGTTACAACATCATGATGATCGATTTTTGCACAAACGGATGGTTTCTTTCTCTCTTTCTTTATCTTGTTTCTAGAATATTTCCTATTGTGATATGAATTCGACCAGTCAGTTCAGTATCAAATTGTTCAAGTAAGTAATTTTCTATCAATATTTCTAATAGATAATGATATCTAACTCTGTTATCTCATAGCAACATCGACAAATTGAGTAAAGGCATCGGTTTTGAACTGTCAACATTGCTCGTAGCAGTATTTTGTACCCTTAACAGTGTTTGTGTTAGCTTCATCCTCAATTGGAAGTTGACACTTGCCATATTATGCACAATGCCATTAACTATTGCCGGTTCTTATGGTTTTTCGAAGGTAAATACAATTGCTGATGATTCATTTAGCTTATAGTAATTTTAAAAGCTCACTGCCAAAGAATCAAGAAATGAATTGGAGATATATTCGAAAGCGGGAGAAATCGTTCAAGAAGTGTTCAGTTCTCTTCGTACTGTGCTTTCGTTCAACAGTCAAAAATTTGAAGAAAAAAGGTTTGAAATATATTTATTGATAAGTGAACTGTGTAAGCCATGAAACATGATTATGTTCGAATTTGATTGTTAACATAGATACGAACGTAAATTAAAGGCGGCTCATTGGAGTAGTGTACGAAAGGGTGCAGCATTCGGTTTTCTCGCTGGATGGGTCTATTTGATAGGATACATCATTTATTCGATTGGTTTTGCCTTGGGCTCATTTCTCATGCATCAACAAGAACATAAAAGACTCAGTTTCAATCATCTTCTTGTGGTAAGTTATTTATTTCACAAAAAAAGATTGCAAAAACCCATTCAACCTTTACACTCGAGTAGATAGTGTTTGCCCTGGTACGAATGATCACTTTTCTCGCCGTTGTCAGTCCTTTCTTTCTACTATTGGAAGAAGCTCGAGGTGCCATATCGCCTGTATTTCGATTGATCGATGAGGTATAACTGTTTCTAACGCACAATCTTGTTCCTTTACAATATCATCATGTAGGAAAAGACGACAAGTGTGAACGAAACACATATATCACAAGACTTGGTCTCTGTTGAAGCAGCTATTTACATGAATGGTGATGTCCAATTTGATAATATCAGCTTTGCTTATCCAGCTCGACCAGATGTCTTAGTCCTACGAAATATCAGTCTGATAGCTTGTGCTGGTGAGATAACAGCTTTAGTTGGTTCAAGTGGTTCGGGTACGTATTTCAAAAGAAAAACATTGGAGTTTGATAGTCTAATTTTTGGTAACTGAATAGGCAAGAGCACATGTATTTCACTTCTACTTCGTTTTTATGAACCTTCATCGGGCCATATTGCAATCAATAATCGATCGATTACCTATTGTGATTTGAAACAACTCCGGAAGAAGATTGGTGTTGTCAGTCAAGAACCTGTATGTTGGTCTTTTTCTATTCTGATTTTTGCATTTCATATTGTTCTATGGAGACTCTCTTTGCCACAAGTATCTATGAAAATATTCGCTTGGGTAAAGAAAATGCAACGAAAGCTGAAATCGAAGAAGCAGCACGTCAAGCCAATGCGCATGATTTCATTATGCAATTACCGGATGTTTGTATCGAATAATCGTTTCTCATGACATTTGTTCTTTTTTCTGTTTTCTTAGAAATACGAAACACTGGTTGGTGAGCGTGGTGTTCAGCTAAGTGGAGGTGAAAAGCAACGTATAGCTTTGGCCCGTGCTCTCGTAAAACAACCTATCTTGCTTTTGTTGGACGAAGCAACAAATGCTCTTGATAGTGCCAATGAACAGATCATCCAAGAAGCACTTGATAAAGCTTGCAAAGGTTTGAACCCATCTTTCACATTTCCTCATACCATCTATAATCACACATAGATCGGACAACTATTGTTATTGCTCATCGTTTGGCAACAATTCAAAATGCACATCGAATTTATGTGTTAAATGATGGGCATATCATCGAACAAGGTACACACGAGACACTGATGGCACAAGAAGGAAGTCAATATCGTAAAATGATGAAAGCTCAACAAGAAGAAAGAACAGAAAAGGATATAGATGAAAGAACGAGCGATGCACAAATAGAAGATGATGACCGAAAACAAACATGTACGTAAATAATATCAGTAAAAGAATATTTCGAATGATATGATTTTTCCATTAGCTGAATGCTCTCAGCATCATAGTCATAATGAACTTGACGATGAAGTTAAAGTAAAGAACATGAACATACTTGTATTGCGATGGTTTTCGCGTGCACAATATTCTTTTAATAGGCATCATTGTCGGTTACAAATTGTCAACCTGTTTTCTTGCGACTTTTATTGATGAATAGATCCGAGTGGATCATCATTCTGATTGGCTGCGTGGCCTGTCTCATTATCGGAGCAGTTCAATCAATCCAGATCATTCTACTCATAAACACGATATCTGTAAGTTATTTTCGCTTAGAAAACGATCAAGATTGTAGTAATTCGCACTTCACAGGCGTTTGGAGCATGTACCTACAAAGAACGAAGTCATCAAATTTTGAAGTTTTCCCTTCTCTACGTCTTGATAGGTGTTATTCTCTTAATCATTCGTTTTATTCAAGTAGGAATATGTTTCATAAAATGTTTCATACTTTCTTCATGTATAGTACGTTTCATTTGCTGTATCGGGCTCCAAGTTGACGCAACGCATTTGTGCTAAAGCTTTCGCACATTATCTCCGTCAGGAAATGGCGTTCTTTGATCTTCTTGAAAATAGTCCTGGAGCTATTTTGAATCGTCTTTCATCTGATGGTTTGGCTGTTCAGCAGATGGTTGGCACTCGTCTTGGCATCGTTTGTGAATCAGTTGCAACGTTTGGAATTAGTATGGCTATTGGATTTCTCTTCACTTGGCAATTAACATTAACTCTGTTCTTTATTATTGTCTTTTTTTTTGTTTTTGCATTCATGCAAATACGTTGGCAAGCACGATTGAACAAACTTTCTGATTGTATTGTTGGATCAGCAAGTTCGGTAAGACGAACATTTTGATTAAAATACCATGTGCAATGAATTATTGAATGATGAATGTTTTTTCTGAATAGCTCGCTGTCGAGATCCTTCACAATATGCGTACGGTGAAACAGCTGACAAGCGAAGCAGAATTCTTACGCCAATTTTCTGATTTAGTTCATAAAGAGTTCAAGTTAGTCTCTCAATCATTTTTTTCTCAACTTCACCTCAATATTTTCTCGTAGGTCTCATCGAAATGGTATGGTAATATCTTCTTCACTAAATAGTATTTTTTGGGGAGGTCGAACATTCATCTTGCTGATTCTCTGTTGGGAGACTCTCTTTCTTGCTGAAGGCAACGAACTGAAAATGAAAAATATATCTATGTAAACAAATAGAATACTTCAAGATCTATTTTATTTACATGTTCTCCTAGAGTATGTGCCTACTACCTCTTCACCTTGGAATCTCTGCGATGCTTCATGACTTTGTGAGAAAGCACGTTAGTTGATTTGTTTCTTTCATGTGCTTTTATTAAGGACGCGACAAATGAGTGACTCGTTGTCAGCAGCTCGAAATTTCTTTAACTTGTTTGATCGAACATCAGCCATCGACAGTAGCTCCATGGATGGTCAACAGTTGGTAAGTAATTCATTTCGTTAAAGTCTGGGCTTTGAACAGATTACTCTAATCTCATTGTTGAAATCTACTATTCATAGAATGATTTCCAAGGCCAGATCGACTTTAATCAAGTTAAATTTGCCTATGCATCTCGACCGAAATCCTACATTCTCAATAAACTTCAACTGACCATCAAATCTGGTGAGTTTAGATTGTGTATTTTCAGTGTAGTTGCGATCAAATCTTTGTATTTGCCTATTAGGTCAGCGTGTGGCCCTTGTAGGTATGTTGAAGCCAATTGTTGCCCATTTGAAACAGATATATAATCTATTTCCAAGGTGCATCGGGTTGTGGCAAATCCACAGTCATTCAGCTATTAGAACGATTCTACGATCCTGTCCAAGGTCAAATCGTACGTACCTTTGTTCTGTGCTGTTAAAATATTCCTACGAACACTCGACTAATCGATTCTAGTGTCTCGATGGAGTTGACATTCAAAAACTGAATATTCAATGGCTTCGCTCGTGTCTCGGTCTCGTTAGTCAAGAGCCTATTTTGTTCAATTTGACCATTGCTCAAAATATAGCATATGGAAGAGAGAATGCTTCTATGGAGGATATTATCGATGCAGCCATCAAAACCAACATTCATAATTTCATTCAACAGTTACCTCAAGTAAATTAAAAATGACAGATAATATTGGATTGTGTATCTCCTTTATGATAACAGGGTTATGAAACTAGAGTAGGCATGAAAGGTGACCATTTATCAGGTGGTCAGAAGCAACGTATTGCTATTGCTCGAGTTCTTCTTTTTCGACCAAAAAGACTGCTGTTCGATGAGGCAACAAGTGCCCTGGACTCATCCAATGAACAGGTTCATTTTCTTACAGTACTTGTTAATCAAATCGTCATTTCTAATAAGTTTAGATTGTGCAAGAAGCTCTGGAAAAAGCTGAAATGGACGATCCAAATCAGACTTCACTGATCATTGCTCATCGTCTATCAACCATTCGTTTATGTGATTTGATCTGTGTTCTTAACAAAGGATACTTAACAGAAAGCGGTACTCATGCAGATCTGATGGAACGACGCGGAGCCTACTATCGTATGGTTGTCAACAGCAGTACTTCATAGATTATCTTCTTTCTTATTTTAATGAAGTTAACAAGTGATTGAAATGACTCATTCTTAATCTCTGAAGGACACCTAAAGCTATATCATAAAAAAAAAGAGGGTGTGGGTGTGGGTGGGTGTCGGTGGGGTGTGGGTGTAGGGTGCGGGGGTGGGGGTAGGGGTGGGGGTGGGGTGTGGGGGTGGGTGTGGGTGTGGGTTTGATCATTCCTTTAACGACACCCACACCCATAATGGAAATATAATAGTCGATTCTGTTTTCGTTTTATTCAATAATGAATTAGTATGATGAAGTGCGTCATCATCATGTTCAATATAAACAGTTGAATGAAGAAACCATTCTGGTAGTGATCCTCATTTAAGATTGTAATCATTTCAATCTGTATTTGACAAATATTCATCATTATCTTTTTCAATAATAACTTCACTATCACGATTGACTGTTATTTAATTTTCATTGATTATTATTTCACAAGTAACGTCCATCGTCAAGCGATTCACTTAGCCCTAGACTGAGAGAATACATGTACGGATGTAATAGCATAAAAAGCTACATTAAAAAAGTAATACGCAAAATTGATAATATGACCAGTATATCTTAGGCGAGCAGAAAACTTAATTTGGAGAATTCTCACTCTAAGTAAAGATGATGCATTTACAAATTTAATTTTTTTTTGTCGTTTTTGTTTTATTTTTTTTTTTGCTTTTATAAATATAAATAGCGCCCAATAAGATTAGACAACAATACGATTTTTTATAATTATATTGGCGCTATTTGTACGTATAAAAATATGAATTATATTATTCATAAAATTTGAGTTTTATTAATCAATATTTTATGCTTAAATTCGCGCACTAATTCTAAACTATTAATAAATTAAATATTCATTGATACAACATTGCACAATCAATCCTACAATAATGAATAATTTAAACGATTTCTTTAAATCCATACTGCTCATTTGGTCTGACTCTCACTAATTAAATGCTTTTGTAAGCCGTTTTATACCACTACCCGAACTATAGTTATTCCATTGACATTTTACCCATGATTATTATGGGTTCATTTACATCAGTCTTTAGATGGTCATTTGTACCATAGTTACCGGAATAGTTGTTTGTACCATGGTTGCTATATGGTCACCTGTGCCATAGTTACGTGGTCGTTTGTACCATAGTTACCTAGTTAATTTTAGTAAAAAAATGATCGCTTGTGCCATAAAAATGGTCACTTGTGCCAAAAAAATGGTCGTTTGCGCCAAAAAAAATGGCCATTTGTGCCAAAAAAATGGTCACTTGTGCCAAAAAAATGATCGTTTGTGCCATAAAAATGGTCTTTTGTGCCAAAAAAATAGTCACTTGTGCCAAAAAAATGATCGTTTGTGCCATAAAAATGGTCTTTTGTGCCAAAAAAATAGTCGTTTGTGCCAAAAAAATGGCCATTTTGACCGCGTTACCGACAGACAGACAGACAGACAGACACAGGTGGATTTCGGTTTCTAGACCCTAGCCTTTCAGTCTAGGGAATGAATTTTTAAAAGAACCAAATAATGTTGCCATTTGTTCATTAAATAATCTCATATAAATTATTTGTCCATATCTACTTATTATTTCTTCTGTTTGATTATTTTCATATATAATAGGAGTAGATGATGTACATATCAAATATTCTCCTGTACTATTCTTATAGAATTATTCTATATAAAATCGAGTATATTCTTTCAAACATTTTTCACATTTATTATTTATTTCTTTACAGATTTTTTCTTGTTCGAAATTTCCAATTGTAGATTGTATGTTTATTAAACGATATTTAATTACATTTACAAATGTAGCAATATCAATTCTATAAAACAACTCAATTGGATTATGTTTACCTCGTCAACTAATCTTTAATTTACTAGGATATTCTTATTTTATATATTTATCACGTTTAAACTATTCCATATATGAATGAATCTGTTTCATATTGAGAGTGTGGGTGTGAGTGTGGGGTGTGGGGTATGGGTATGGGTGTGTAGGTGTGAGTGAGGGTGTGGGTGGGGGTATGGGTGTTGGTCTTCATTCACTCCATATCTACCGACAGTCACACCCACACCCACACCCGACATCCCACACCCTGTTTTTTATATTGACGAAGATAAATGAGAATATCTTTTACTGTAATATTGAATAAGTTATTAATTTCCGTGACAAATAATTTCCTGTGTTTATATTTTTTCCAAATTTGTTTGAACACATATTTATAGGATGGTTCAGAACCATACACAATAAGAATAAATGTATATCTGTTAATATTTTCTTTAAGAAACTCAATCAATCGTTGACTAATGGGTTCGGATGATCTTAGGATGCGTACTTGTGAAATATCATTTATATGGTTCAAGACTTTGTATAAAATCGGATCTGTTTCATTGCAAAATATATAGAATTCACAGCTAGATGGAATTTCCGATAGTTGTTTAATATCATCGAATACATCCGCTCGACGATCGTCTCCATCAAATAGAATAAGCTGACGTTCGTTTGATTGAGTTTCCATATATTTCGTGGCAATTTTGTTTAACTAATGAGGGATGTGTCTTGATGATATCTATCTTACAGCTGACATGAGAATTCAGTTGAGATTGGAATGAGCGTGATAATAAACAAGAAAATTTAGAGGAAAAGAGAAAATTGCGAAAAAATTGAAGATAATTTTTGTTAGGTAATTAAACAGTTCATAGAACAGTCATACTTTAAAATAATAAATGCACATTGCGTCATTTTTGGGTCCAATGTCCTATATTTGTCTTTAAAAGACTAAAAACTTTTGCTTGCTTTTCTTAATCTCTTTAAACTGTATCATAAGAATGATTTTATAGATCGTTGTATAAATAATGCTAGATGTATAAATTAGAATACATTTGTTACAGTATACACTAAATAGTACATGACGAAATAGAGATTTCTCCAAGGGGGAAAAAGCGGATCCCGGATCCCAGGATCCCGACGGATCCCGTTGGATCCCATTGGATCCCGTGGATCCCATTGGATCCCGTGGATCCCGTTGGTGTCCAGTGGATCCCGTGGATCCCGGTGGATCCCAGTGGATCCCGGTGGATCCCAGTGGATCCCAGTGGATCCCAATGGACGTTTTTAAATGTTTCTGAGATTATATTAACCTTCAATTTCACTCGCTCAACTCGCACATGCATTGATTAAGGGTGAGGTAGTTAAGCGATATTATTTTTCACTAGTTACTCTTATCATTTTTTCCTGTTAATGTCTGCTTCGTGAGACAGA